ATCAGCCATTTGAGAGCATTTGAAAAAGAGGGATTTTTCCACGTTGGCCAAGGGTTAATGAATCTCCCATCTTTCCCTCTCTTTGATTTTGTTACATCTTCCTTTAATCTGTAGTCCAGTCTGAAGCTTTTCCTGGAACATCTAGAAGAATCACTTCCTCTGGAATCCCGGGCTGAATGTTGACGTTTTCTGACCACTTTCTTAGGATACTGGCTGCTGGTCAGCAAGAACTGATCACTTTCATTTTCATCCATGTCCTCTGGTGAAGAACCAGGGAAGCTCCAGAGATGCAGGCTCCGTAACTCGCGCCTTGCGGAAATTCAAATAAGCCCCAGCACCTCCAAAGAAGTCCGTCCCGGCTGGGGCACCCGGCAGGCGTCACCCTGGCGCGGGGGCTCGCTGGGCGCGCTCTGGCCGCCGCTGCTCCCGCTCGGCTGGCGGGCACAGCGCTCCGGGGCACGCCGCCCCGCGCTGCAGGAGGGCCCGCGGCCCATTTTCTTTTTTAAAATATTCATTCATTGTTGCATAATTTCCTCCCTCCCTGTCCCTTCCCCCTTTCCCAGACCTTTTTGCAACACACCTCTTATTCTGGACTATTGTCATAGATGTAATGCCTAATCATATACTCCCTTTAAATAGTTCTTTCCTTCATCTTTTCTAATGTTGTGTTTGTTATCTGTTCTTTCTTTTCCTAGTTCCCTCCAAACCCCCATGTCAGTCCTGTTTTATAACAGTGGTGTTATGCAGTATTTTTCCTTTTATGACTGAGATATTTCACTCAGCATAAGGTCCTCCAGGGTCACCCGTGTTGTTATGTGATGTTTTACAAGTTCCTTGTTTTTCGATGCTGCATAGTATTCCATTGTGTGAATATACCATAGTTTTTTCTATCCATTGTTTTGTTAATGGGAACTTGGGTTGCTTCCATCTCTTTTCTATTGTGAAAAATGCAGCAATAAACATGGGTGTGCATGCATCGATTTGGGTGGTGGCTCTGGTTTCTTTAGGATATATTCCCAGTAGTGGTATTGCTGGGTTAAGTCGTTTCTATTTCCAACTTTTTGAAAAAGCGCCAGACCACCTTCCACAGTGGTTGCCCCATTTTGCACTCCCCTCAGCAGGGAAGAAGGGTTCCAATCTCTCCACAACCTCACCAGCATTTGTTGCTTGCTGCTCTGTTGAACTTGACTAATGTGCTGGGGGCCATAGGGTTTTCATTGGCTGATTTTCAAGTCGGCCACCCATCCTATCTTCCCAGCACATCTTAGCTTTGAAGTTCTGCTAAAAACTGTTCAGTAACATGCAGGCATCCACGGACAGATGAGTGTCGGCTGGCTACATATGATGTGCTTTGGCCAAGAATAAAGTCCAGGTCTCCCCACATGGAATGCAAGAATTTTACCAATGGCCCTCATCTTGGTCACTGTGATATTAAGCACAGCATGGGCATGCTCGGTGAGTCGCAGAGAATTGTGTCTGTGAGGGCTTTGTTGCCCTCACACACACAGTCAGAAAATACATGTTGTCAGGAATACATCTTGAAATAACTAATAGAGAGTGCTGGTGGCCTAGTGGTAAGAAGTTCACTGCCAATCCAGAGGCAGATGTTGCCAGTTCACCGGCTGCCCCACAGGAGGACAGTCCCCTCCCATTTGACCTATAGCCTCTGAAAACCTGCTGGAGGGTCAGCTATGAGTTCCAACTTGACAGGCCAAAACAACAACTAAATAATGTACTGCATAACTCCACTTTTATACAACAGGACTCACATGGGAGTTAGGGGGAAACTAGGAAAAGGGGATAGATAATGAACACTGCATTGGAACAGACGAAGGAGAAAGAACTGTTCAAAGGAATGTATGATTAGGCATTATTTGTATGACAACAGTCCAGAATAAGAGGTGCATTGCAAAGTGGACTAGGGAATGGGGGAAGGAAGAAATTGTACAACAATAAATGAATATTTTTAAAATATTTCTTTTTTAAAAAGTTAACCAGGTCAGGGGAGCTCTGGTGGCCTAGTGGCAAGGAACTGCAACTACAATCCCAGAGGCACACTGTTGGAATCCACCAGATGCTCTCCCGGGGAAGGAGGGACAATCTCCTCCTGTACCAGTCAGATCTGATTTGATGGTACACGCACACAAAAATAATAATAATAATTTTTTTTTAAAAAAAGTGAACTGGGTCAGGGTAAGGCGGAAATTGTACAACAGTGAATGAATGAAAATCCAGCTTTTCTGTAAACTTTTGTTAAAATCACAATAATAATGATATTGATAGCCACTATGTTTGAAGACTTCTGTATTCAGCCGGATTAGCACACTGGCTGCAACAACAGGCAATTCACAGCATCATGAAGACGACACAGGGCATTTAATTCTGTTAGATAGAGTCACTACGCAGGGCATTTCATTCTGTTAGACCGAAGCACTATGCATTGGAATCAACTCAGTGACACACATCACACCAACACATTCCAAGCCACTGCTGGGTATCAGTTGAAAGATTTACCTCAGAGTAGGAATGTTTAGTTGTTTTTTTTTTTATTTAAGCCTCTTGTTTAGAGTCAACAAGACCTGCTAGAGGGCCCTTGTGTTTAAGGCCAAGCCTTTGTCTCCATTTTGGAGACACTGAGTGAAGCAGCTGAACTCTGTAAAATGGGCTCTCTTGTTTTGGTTGAGGGTCTGTGGGGAATGTTTGGTTATTTGTTGTTTGTTGTTTTTCTTTTTATTATTTAAGCCTCTTGTTTAGAGTCAACAAAACCTCCTGGAGGGCCCTTATATTTAAAAATTGGGCCTGAGCGATTATATTTTAATCCCTGTTACTGTATTTTGGAGGAACATTCTTCTAAGTTGTACAGCACTCTTCCCTTGATTTGCTGTGACAGTGAACCTTGTGCCATTGGGGTGTCAAATGCCATAATGGTTGCCCATGGTGGACAGTGTTTGGTGGAGCTCCCAGTTTAAGACAGGTTTGGAAGCAGGAGTGGCATCCACTTCCTAAACAACATGCCTCTATGAACTTGGAGGAACAATGATAGTTATAGAAAGGCTTCAGGTCTTTTGTTCATAGGGTCACTATGAGTCGTGCTCGACTTTACGGCAATTAACAACAACAGATCTTGTTATTCTCTATGAGTTGTGCTTGCCAACCCAAAGGCAGACAGTTCAAATCCACTGACTACTCGACGAGAGAGAGATAAATTGTCTCCTGTGGCCTCTGAAAATTTAGTACAGGTTCAGTCATGGGTCAATTCCAATTTGATGTCAGTGAGAGAAGATTTTTTTATTAGTAATGAGAAACTGAGACTCTGGGAGGTAAAGTGACGCTCTTGAGGTCACACAGCTGGTAAGTGGCAGAGGTGGGATCAGCAACCCAGGTCTGTCTGACTCTAAGACATGATTGGTGTCTGACTGCCCATCCCTTCACTATCACAGTGGTGACTGAGACCACCCTCCCTGCAAGGCACCCCTTATGATACAAGCTATATCACAGCTTGTTCAAAAGAGAAAGGAGGACGGTCCTCCTTGGGCACTAAGCTTAGCTGAGTTTTTTGTGAGTTATTTGTTGGGTCTTATATTAAGGGAGATCCTAAGAAAAAGCCCCAGTGATCCGCATTGCTACATTTAGTGAAAGCACATTGTTGAGAATGGTGTTTCTGTCCCCCAGGAACAATGGGAGAAACTCTTCTCTGGTATCTTGTCCCTGTATAGTCCCATGTGCACTGGGTTGCTTTAATATTAGTAATTCTTCCTGTCTCCTTCATTGCCATTGCTTCTGGGAAGATCCAAGCCAAATAAACTTCCAATAAGTCAAATACGACTTCAGGACATACGTTTTGTGTCCCATCTAACTCTAGCTTCCAGCTTGCATTCCTATCCTATTTTTCTCTCTACTTCCTCCTTCTCCTAAAGGAAAGTCTTGCAATATTAGAGGACCTTTTTTTAAGACACTTTCAAGGCGTGGGGAAACAAGGCAGGGTATAACTAAATAAAGGGAACAGAATCCAGCCATAGCTGGCAAGGGCTCTGGTTAGGAAACAAGCCGGTGAACGAATCAGACAGGACAGAACCTGTCAAGGGAGACCCCTTGCGGTGTCTTCACTCTAGGAGTTTCAGGTGGACCAGCAGGTTCAGCCTCTGTCTTCTTGTCAGCGCTTCAGCTAATTTTGGGGCGATGTGTGCTCTAGGTACATGAGACTGAGCTTTAAAAGGGCAAAATGCACACAAGGGTTCATTTCTATCAGTTTAAATAGACAGCTCCCCCCCTCCCCTTTCTCTTGTTGCGTACCATTGAGTCGTATCTGATTGGCACAGGAGGAGATTGCACCTATTCTTCCAGAGGAGCGTCTTGTGGATTTGAACCATGTGCCTTTGGGATTGCAGTGCAGCTTCTTGCCACTAGGTCACCATAGCTCCCCCTTGTATCTTTTAGAGATAATTTTTTTGTTTGTTTTATTAATTTTAATGAATATTTACAGAGATTTTGGATTTCCATTAATTCATTGTTGCACTTTTTTCTCTACGCTGT